CTGTGTTCTGGTAGATGAGGCTGGATCTTGTCTTTCTGGTGGGCAGGTCCACGTCTGGTGGTGTGTTTTGGGGTGTCTGTGGACTTATTATGATTTTAGGCAGCCTCTCTGCTAATGGGTGTGGTTGTGTTCCTGTCTTGCTAGTTGTTTGGCATAGGGTGTCCAGCACTGTAGCTTGCTGGTCGTTGAGTGAAGCTGGGTGTTGGTGTTGAGATGGAGATCTCTGGGAGATTTTTGCTGTTTGATATTATGTGGAGCTGGGAGGTCTCTTGTGGACCAGTGTCCTGAAGTTGTCTCTCCCACCTCAGAGGCACAGCACTCACTCCTGGCTGCAGCACCAAAAGCCTTTCATCCACACGGCTCAGAGTAAAAGGGAGAAAAAGTAAAAAGAAAGAAGGAGGATAAAAGAAAATAAAATAAAGTAAGATAAAATAAAATAAAGTTATTAAAGTAAAAAATAATTAGTAAGAAAAAAAATTTTTTTAAGTAAAAAAAACCCCCCAAAACGGACGGATAGAACCCTAGGACAAATGGTGAAAGCAAAGCTATACAGACAAAATCTCACACAGAAGCGTACACATACACACTCACAAAAAGAGGAAAAGGGGAAAAAATCATAAATCTTGCTCTCAAATTCCACCTCCTCAATTTGGGATGATTCGTTGTCTATTCAGGTATTCCACAGATGCAGGTACATCAAGTTGACTGTGGAGCTTTAATCCACTGCTCCTGAGGCTGCTAGGAGAGATTTCCGTTTCTCTTCTTTGTTTGCCCAGCTCCCGGGGCTCAGCTTTGGATTTGGCTCCGCCTGTGCGTGTAGGTCACCTGAGGGAGTCTGTTTTTCCGCTCAGACAGGACGGGGTTAAAGGATCAGATGATTTGGGCACTCTAGCTCACTCAGGCCGGGGGAGGGAGGGGCACGGAGTGCGGGGCGAGCCTGCGGTGCAGAGGCCGGTGTGACATTGCACCAACCTGAGGCGCGCCGTGCGTTCTCCCGGGGGAGTTCTCCCTGGATCCCAGGACCCTGGTGGTGGCGGGCTGCTCAGGCTCCCGGTAAGGGAGGTGTGGAGAGTGACCTGTGCTCGCACACAGGCTGCTTGGTGGCAGCAGCAGCAGCCTTAGCGTCTCATGCCCGGCTCTGGGGTCTGCACTGTTAGCCGCGACTCGCGCCTGTCTCTGGAGCTCCTTTAATAAGCGCTCTTAATCCTCTTTCCTTGCGCACTAGGAAACAGAGAAGAAAAAGTCTTTTGCCTCTCCGGCAGGTCCAGACTTTTCCCCGGACTCCCTCCCGTCCGGCCATGGTGCACTAACCCCCTGCAGGCTGTGTTCACGCCGCCAACCCCAGTCCTCTCCCGGCGCTCCGATCGAAGCCCGAGCCTCAACCCCCAGCCCTGCCCACCCCGGCGGGTGAGCAGACAAAGCCTCTCGGGCTGGTGAGTGGCTGGTGAGTGCGGGTTCGCACCGATCCTCTGTGCGGGAATCTCTCCGCTTTGCCCTCCGCACCCCTGTTGCTGTGCTCGCCTCCGTGGCTCCGAAGCTTACCTTCTCCAACACCCGCAGTCTCCGCCCGCGAATGGCCTGCCTAGTGTGTGGAAACCTTTCCTCCACAGCCCCCTCCCACTGGTGCAGGTCCCGTCCCTATTCTTTTGTCTCTGTTTATTCTTTTTTCTTTTGCCCTACCCAGGTATGTGGGGAGTTTCTTGCCTTTTGGGAGGTCTGAAGTCTTCTGCCAGCATTCAGTAGGTGTTCTGTAGGAGTTGTTCCACGTGTAGATGTATTTCTGATGTATCTGTGGGGAGGAAGGTGATCTCCACGTCTTACTCTTCCACCATCTTCTCCCTCTCTCCTCTTTTTTCTTTACTTCCTTTATTTTTTCTCCTTTCCTCTCTTTTGATCTCCCTCTTTTTTCCTTTAGTTTTATTAAAGGTTTTTTAAAGCAAGTTCCAAAAATCATATTATTTCACCCCTGCATATTTCAAATATCTCTAAGCAATATGGATATTTTCTTATATCGCCAGAATGCCATTATCACACCCAACAAAATGATAGTTTTTTGGTACCATCTAATATCCAGTGTATAACCCAAGCAAACGTCTTTGTATGATGGGCTTGTCTGAATCTGGATCTACACATGGTTCACATATTGAGGTGATTGTTGTATCTCTGTCTCTTTTGATCTAGCCCAGTTCCCCGCCCCCCTTTTTTCCTCCAATTCATTGGTTGCAGAAATTAGGTCAGTTGTCCTATGGAATTCCCACATTCTGGATCATCTGTTTGCTCCCTTGTGGTGTCATTTAATTTGTTTCTTTATCCCTCTCATTTCATACAAACTTTAAGTTAGCCCCTTGATCGGGTTGAAGTTCATTTTTCTTTTTGCGGCAAAACTTCTTCAAAGGTGGGCTGTGAGCTTCATATATGTCCTGTCAGGAAGCCACAATGTCTGATTATCTCACATCTGGTGATGCAAAGATGAATTGCCCTTGTTCCTAATTGACTTTTCATGAGGGCTTTATCCATTAATGATCTTTGCCTGAAACAGTTATTTTCTTAGGGTCTCCAAAATGGTGATTTTCTAATAATATCATTTCTTCCACATTTATTAGTTAGATTTTTTTCTATTAAAAAATCTTTCCCTCATCAGTTCAGGTTATCTGGCTACCCTGAAATACAGTTTATACAAGAAAGGCAGGATAAATGCTTATTTTTATTCCTTTTAATTGCCAGATTTCTAGATAAGGAGTTGGTGCTTTAGAGGAAGCTTTTTTTTTTTTTTTTTTTTTCCTTTTCACTTTATAGACAAAGAACTTGAGGCTCAGAGATGTCAAAAAAAATTGCTCAAGATCCCAAACAGGTATTAAGGAGCAGAAATGGTATTCAAACCAATATCTTCTGGCCTCAAAAGCATATGCTATTTCTACTAAACCAAAAGGTACCCCTGCCCTCAACCCCCCAGCTGCTGACAGCTGGGAGTTGCTACTTTAAATCTCTCCCCCTGCTTTGCCCTTTAAGAATCAGGCTCCAAGAATCCTCCTTTACAGCATCTGGGCTTTATAAACTTATGTAATACTCCAGAACTGTAGTTCCAAATGGAGGTGCTGGCCTGGCTAGGCCAAGAACTGAGCAGAGCCAGGAAATAGGTCACACTATTTCTATTTAGAAGGAGGGGCTTTAGCATCACAGTTTGTGTTTTAGGCTCCCGTGACAACCAAAGTGTGAGTCACTCTAAGTTATGGCTGGAGCAGATAACGGTGATCCAAACAATTTGGAGAGTTGTCAGATGTTAAGATGTCTTAACTAACTCTCCTAAACCATTTTCCCTTTCTTCTGCCACCCCTGCTCTCTGCCATTCCAGATTTGAGGGGAGTACTTAGGTAACTGCCTAAACATTATTTTACAATTCCTAAACCTCTGTTAACTGTGTGACTGGCATCTGCCCGCTCCCCCGCCCTGAAGCCCATGGTCCTTTAGTATCTTAAAGTAGTGTTAAAGAAGTAGAGTTCACTTAGTAAATTTGGGAGATTTTCTTGGCTTTGTGGTGTCTACGTATCACGGGCTTCTAATGCTAAAGTCTCTACCTGACTCAGAGAAAGAATGTTTCTCCGGGACTTCCCTGGTGGTCCAGTGTGTAAGACTCTGCACTCCTAATGCAGGGGGCCTGGTTTGATCCCTGGTCAGGGAAATAGATCCCACATGTGTGCTGCAACTAAGAATGCGCATGCTGCAACTAAAGATCCCACATGCCTCAATGAAGATCCCGTGGGCCGCAACTAAGACCTGGTGCAGCCAAACTAAATAAATAATAAATAAATAAATATTTTTAAAAAAGAACATTTCCCCAGACTTCATACAACCCAGAGGTACAAAATTTTTTTAAGGCCCTCCACATTTCACCCCTCCCATCAGCATAGCAGTCTACATTAGAAACAAACAAATAACCAACCTTCAGAATTGTAGTTGGAGAGGTTTCCTGTGCTTATGGGGCTAAAGGCCCCATCTCAGCCTCTGATGTTCCATGATGGGCCTCCAAATAAGGGAGGCCCACAGTCCCGCTGTCCCAGGCCAGTACCCAAATTCCCAAATACCTACAGAAAAAAATTATGCTATCTCTATCCTTGCTTACAGGGGACTGTGATTAGTGCTGTGAAAACATGCTGTCTGCTGCAAACAGCAGTCCCCTAAAGCAGTTCTCTATTAAAAACAGGAAGGTAATTCTGTAATCTGCCTTGAAAAGATAAGATCAGAGACAGAGTGTATTTAAATGGCAGAAGAGAATAAAAAAACGTCATTCAGAGAGTAGCCTCCATAAAATTATATTTAAATACTAGGCTTCCTTACAGAATATCTGACCCAATACTATCCAGTAGAACTTTCTGTGATGGAAATGTTCTGTATCTGCACTGTCCAATAGGAAGACCACTGGCCACATGTGGTTATTGAGCACTTGAAATGTGGCTCATGCAACTGAAAAAATTTAACTTTTATTGCATTTCATTTAATTAATTAAAATTAAAATTTAATGGAACGTGTAGCTAAGGGTTACCATATTGGACAATGCAGATCTGGCCCTTGTATTCTTAACTTTTTCTTTCTCCTAACAGTATACACAATTTGGGGCTGTTATAAAATAGTTAAAAAAATCGAAGTTACCAATTTTATTAATCTTAGTGATGAATTTTCCTTATGGAATTAGATTCATAATGGCTTAGAAATTCTAGCCTCCTTGTACATAGACGAACTTTTTATTATGAGACTAACTTCAAGGGAAAATTAATTATGCTCAAACTTTGATTTTTAAAATTTGTGTGAATTATATGCTTTCGTGGTGATGGTTATAACAGTGATGGGAACGTACTTAATGCTACTGAACTTTACACTTAGAAATGGTTAAAATGGTAAATTTTGTGTTAAATATATTTTACAATAAGAAAATTATGTGCTTTATTTTCTTTCATTAGGCCTGATTTTAATTTAATTTTGTTAAAATTTCCCACTGTCCATAGACCTTGCTGAGAATCTGGTCCAGTGTGTTCCTGGCTGCAGTGTGTTTCTCTTTGGTGAGGCCGACGTGCCCGAGAAGCGCACTCTTGTCCAGAGAAGGAAACAGCTGGGCTGGTTCACAAGGAGGGATTTCAGTGCTCTTAAACCTGACCTGGGAGTTGCACCTGCCCGAAGATGTGGTTTAACAGGTTCACAGTATGGTTTTGTTCTGCTTTTGTTGTTGTTGTTGTTTTTTAATTAATTTATTTAATTTATTTATTTTTGGCTGCGTTGGGTCTTTGTTGCTACACACAGGCTTTCTCTAGTTGCCGCGAGCAGGGGCTACTCTTTGTTGCGGTGCGCGGGCTTCTCATTGCGGTGGCTTCTCTTGTTGCAGAGCACGGGCTCTAGGTGCACGGGCTTCAGTAGTTGTGGCTTGTGGGCTCAGTAGTTGTGGCTTGTGGGCTCTAGAGCGCAGGCTCAGTAGCTGTGGCACACGGGCTTAGTTGCTCCACGGCATGTGGGATCTTCCCAGACCAGGGCTTGAACCCATGTCCCCTGCATTGGAAGGCAGATTCTTAACCACTGCGCCACCAGGTAAGCCCCTCTGCTTTTGTTTTTAAACTTGAGTATCCTGAGGTCACCTTCATTTGGTCCCTCCCACATAATACAGGAGGGCTTCAGCTGGGGCTCCTTCTTGACTTGGTTGAAGGTCTCCTCATGGCTCTTTCTTACCCATGCCTTCATGAGCTGACCAGAGAGGCTGGAAGCCCTCATCATATATTCCATGAGAGCCCCCAAGAGTGATGTTCAAGATAAATAATGAGCCCTGCAGTGTGGCCACTGATGATGAGAATGGTTGACACCAGGACAGGTCCTGGAGGCCCGCTGCTGTGCTGGGCATGAGCGTGTATCCTGGGGACACTTGGTGACTCAGGACTTGGGTAGAGCTTACTTTGAGCTGGTAGGAAAGTCTTTCAGCACTTGAACATCCAGTGTTTCCAAGTTGATGCTTACAGCTGGAAGTCAGTTTTAGAGGCACCCTGGAGACAGGCTTTTCTACAAAGCAGGCTCTAGGCCAGAGAGAACAAACATGGGGAATGGTATTCTTCCTTCCCCTGGATCTCACCAACTCTTACCTCTCTCTGCTACTCCAGTCCCACTCCTTGCTTAGAGCTTACCTTCGGAAAAGGCAGTAGCACCCCATCCAAAATGCCATCCCCATTCACTGCACTTCACCATCCTAGTGCCATTTATTCTTTCACTCTCAAGTATCTTCTGTAGGGATCACAAATTAAACCATGCTAGGTAACATTTTCATAGTCAGTTAATATTTTAGCCGTTACTAAGATACTAGGTCCCCAAGGAGCAAGAGGTGGGCAACCATAAGAAATACATTTCCCCATGGTGCAGTTACCCATAGGCTTTTGGTTACTAATCCCTGGTGCAGAATTCTGCTCTCAAACCAATGATATCTATAATCAAGCAGAGCAGTACAATGAAAACAGTGCAGGCTTTGAGGCTGTGCTCGAATCCTGGCCTTGCTGTTCATTGGCCGTGTGACTTCAGAGTGTTTCTTAACTCATTAAGCCTCAGTTCCCATATCTATAAAATGGACATCATAATTATATCTCCCTCGTGAGACTGTGAAGTTGAAATAATGTCTATTAAGTGCCAAACACAGTACTAAGGGGCCATTTTTTCCTTCCATTTAGAGAAAAGATTTATTAAAAAGTGTGTGTTAGTCTTTACTTATGGAAAAAGGAAGAAGCTGATTGCTCCCTGCCAATTTGAACCTCACATATTTTCCCACGATTTGTCTCACAAATGTAGAAGTGTAAGTTTGTGACTAAATTTTCAGACAGCTATTTCCTGATTTCTAATTTGGGCCTCACTAAAGACTGAAAGGATTATTTCACAAACCTTGTCAGCGCAGAGCCCAGTGACTGGGATTATAGTCAGTGGACAGGAATTAGAAGCAGGGATCCTAGTACTAGAGAACAGAACTGGCTTTAGTATTGGATTAGGCAGTCCCTGGAAAAACTTCATTCTCATTTCTGCATTGCTATGAGACTGAATGGGTCGGTATTTAGGGAGAACTTTAGAGAACTCTAAACAGCATATCTGAGTTAAAGACTAAATGTTCATGTTATCACTAATCATATTCAATCTTCTAAGAACAAACTTGGTTTGTAATTGTCTAAACCAGAGTGAACACTGCTCCCCCATCTCACCTAATGGTTGTCTGGGGTTGGGATAATCTCACCCATTTTACATTGTTTGATTGGAAAGGACAAGCCATTGGGATTTCTAATTTCTTCTCTATTTTTACTCCATGTGGAGATCTGTGATTTACATGGAGAATTTCATCAACATCTGAAAATCCTAAGTTTACTTTAAAATGCCAAGATTGGCACAAAAATGTTTAAAGATGGTATTTTAAAGGTAAAATTTGATACTGGTAAAGATGTAGTTAGAGGCACGCATGCCACTAATGGTAGCATCAATTGGTATAAACTTTTTGGAAGTGAGTTGGTGATGTGTATTAAGAGCTCCAAGAATATAAGTAACTGCTTTGCAGAAATTCTATTTCTAGTGATAGATTTATCTTAAGGAAATAGATTTATTCCTGAGGAAATAATAAAAGGTACATGTACTTATGCACAAGTATGTTTATCAAAGAACTATTTATAATAGTAAATACGGGAAACGATGTAAATGTTCAGTATTTGAGAGTGATTATTAAATAAGCTATACCTAGGTGAAAGACTATTATGCAAGCAATTAAGTGTGAAGGTTTGGAAGAATTTTTAGAGACTTGAAAAATACAATACAATGTAGAGAGAATTTGCAGTTTATTAATTAATGCAACAAATATTTATCAAGTACCTAGTATGTGCTAGGCACTATTGTCAGTGGGGAAAATAGAATTTATTTGCCCTCAAAGAATTTACATTCCAGGGACTTCCCTAGTGGCGCAGTGGTTAAGAATCTGCCTGCCAATGCAGGGGACACAGGTTCAAGCCCTGGTCCAGGAAGATCTCACATGCCGCGGAGCAACTAAGCCCGTGCGCCACAACTGTTGAGCCTGCGCTCTAGAACCCGTGAGCCACAACTACTGAGCCCATGTACCACAACTACTGAAGCCCATGCACCTAGAGCCCGTGCTCTTCAACAAGAGGAGCCACCACAGTGAGAAGCCCGCGCACCACAACGAAGAGTAGCCCCTGCTCGCCGCAACTAGAGAAAACCTGCAAGCAGCAACGAAGACTCAACGCAGCCAAAAAAAAGAGTTTACATTCCAGTGGGGAAGGGGTGAAGAGAGCGACAGTAAATAACAAGCTTAATAAATAAAGAATTATATAGTATATTAGAAAATAAGTGCTACAGACAAAAAAAACAACTGGGGCTTCCCTGGTGGCGCAGTGGTTGAGAGTCCGCCTGCCGATGCAGGGGACAGAGGTTCGTGCCCCGGTCTGGGAAGCTCGCACGTGCCGCGTAGGCTGGGCCCGTGAGCCATGGCCACTGAGCCTGTGCGTCTGGAGCCTGTGCTCCGCAGCGGGAGAGGCCACA